GATTACAAGAATTCACAGATCATCACTACGGAGCCTGTGTGAGCCCCGCTGCAATCCATCTGGTGCCCACACCAAGCCGAACTGCGCCCAGAAAGCCTGTAATAACACTACGGTCTGACGGAGTACTTCAGGACTTCAATGTGGGAGAAAGATTCATTTGGATGGCTGCACCGAGTATTTTACGGTGGAGGTCCCGTCAAACCTACGATTTTTCAACTCAACGCTTATCATATCGAGAGGGTTCAAATTTTCGCCAGCACTGAATATCTACAGTGCTTTATAACGGATTCCTCCCGATCTATGTTTTAGTATTTGAATAAAAAAGAGAGGCAAAGGAATCGTGTAATTTTTGTCTTCCCTACTCTTGAGGGAGCTCTAGGAGCGTTTTTAGAGAGCCTTAGCAGAGAGTTCTTGAGGTTTGATCGCGACGCTGGGGGAGCTCCGAACTATGGGGCGAGCCCCTGTTCTGAGAGCGATATTGTGTTGGCGTTTCGCCTTGGAGGGGGCATTTTGCTGGTTCCTATCAGTCACTTCCGGTGCCTCCTATGAAGACCTGTGAATTCCTGTGAAGCAATGGCAGGAACAGTGTTTCCATGGTGTCTACAGGTTTCCCCAAGGTAAGATGTGTAAGTTAATAGGTACTAACAAAAGGAACTAGAAAAAGTGCAAAGTGACCCTCCCATGCCGAACAGTGCCCGTAAGCTTATTTGAACTCGTGGCAAAGCTACTCATGAGCTACTTGAGAGTCTGACTGAAAGAGAGGTGAAAACGAACCAACTATCCCGTTGTCGATTTCCAAAGTGAGATGAGAATAGACGTAAGGGCAGAATAAGAACAAGACGTTCAGGAGCGATCTGCACAGCATTTACTCCTGAAACTTGCAACAAAGGCAGTATAATAAATGTCGTAACAACTGGAGGGGGCAATGGTGTACGAGTGAAACATCATAAATGAACCATCAAATCGATGTCTTTCAAGCCTTAGTTGTATCTTAATGGTGATCATTAAAGCTTAACATTGTGTGGTAAACCAGACGAAGAAGTGAAAGGGCGACGGGAGCATGAAATGGGACGTAATGGGATGACTGAGGCACTGGGCGGTGGCGCGAGGGCCGCCGCGGCCGTCGTCACAAAACGGCAGCATTTAACTCGGTTCAACTCGAGGAGGTGGGCCTTGGGTGAAAGAGACACCGCTTCCATACAGGATCTAGTTGCGGTTGCGCAATCTGCCCCAGAGGGGCGCGGTCTTTAGGGCGAGTCTCGGAGGGCGTGAGATGCGTCTGCCGAGAAAGAAACCTCTGAATTGGTGTTACTAGTTTCCAAGCACCTCGGGTAAAAGTAGCGGTAGATTTGATCCGGATGGACCCTCTGAAAGTAGAAAAAAGTCAAAATCACCTTCACAAGGGGTACAATGGAGAAGGGAGGCTTGACCTTGTCAATGTGTGCAGCGATTTCGACTATTTGTGTTTCATTAGAAAAACTTCGAGGAAAAACTCGCATAAAAAACGTCCTTAAACCCTCGATTACCAACTGGATTGCACGAGATTCTCTCACACCTCGAATGAATAGCGATGTTCTGGTCACTGGGGAGAAAGTAATGGAAGTTACTGTAACTGGAGCGGAAATTGTGGACGGGATGGAGAGGAGCTGTTGCTCGTACCACTAAGGGCTTATAAACACCCGGTAGTAACCGGACTGACGACGACCAAGTGATGACAAGCTGACATGACCGCCACACAACTGCTTTGCTATTTGCTCTTTGCTTGTCAGACGAAAGTGACACATCCATCCAAGAAAACTCGCTTGCGCTCCCAATTAAATCCAAGGTTCTCGTGCTTCTTCTGAGATCCCAAAGTCTATTTTTTCATCCTTTATGCGAAAAATAAAGTCCCTACCGTTAACCAGTCCCGTTTTAAGATGGTCACGCATTCTAACAGCGCATTCGAATCGTTGGTGGATTACTCGTATGGCGATGTCGGCCTTTAACGAAAGAGGGGATGCGCGAGCAGGCTCAGCCCACGGTATTGAGTTTAGGTGTTTTTATCCTGGCGCCTAGACGAGCCTGGAAGCAATTGCTATACCGGTTGCCCGGAGGAGTGAGGAAAATTTGGGTGGCCTGGGACCGCGCGCAGCGGTTTCGGGCGCGGGATTTGACTCCGGCGGGGCATGCGACGGTGTTTAACGCTTTGCGCGGTACTGTTGGACGAATGACAGCTATATCCACGCTAAAAACGCGGTTAACTTCCAAATATGCAGTAAAAGAAAAGCGAAGATTTTAAAGTGATGCACTTCTTTTTCCCAATGCCGATTTTTCCTGACATACATTCTGAACCTTTAGCAACACTTTGAACATAACCTGGTCCATACAATGACTCGCGGGGAGCAGCCGATGTGTTAGTGAGCGTTTTTTGTCCTCCAAGACGAGCCTGGTAGCACTCTCTGCTGCCTAAACCTTATGTGTGAAATTCTAGGACTTAGTAAGGACTCATCCTCGTCAAACTCTCGGTGATACGCGACGGTTACTTTCCACAGTGGAAACATTTTAAGGAAAAATCTCCCAGACAGCCTGGTTCGGAACTGGGGTCGTAGCATCTACAGAATGCTGTGCAGGGAATCGGAGGAGTCGAGGTTCTGGCTCTCGGGCTGAGCGTGCAATGTGGCTGGTAGGGGTAGCAAATGATACTCAGGGAAGCTTATGCACACCACCATGTGTAACGCCTCACAAATTTCGACTTCGTAGCACTAGTTATCACGAAGTAGCAAAAGGAACCATCAAAAGTGCAAGTACCCGCGCCAGCCAAAAGCAAAAGCCGAACAGCTCCCGGTCGAAGCTTTGTGCTCGCAGTAAGCGCCCTTTGCGCACGCAATTTAAAAGTAATTACGGGCCCATGTTGCTCGACTCGTTAGCGGGAGGCTAGGTCAGACGAACATAATGGGTTGGGAACAAAATGGAATCGTTTGACGTAACTTCCCTCTACACAAACGTGTCAAACGATGGAGCCATGCAGGCCACCTATGAACTCCTTAGCGAGCACGGGGCGTCGATCAACATGTATGGCCTTTCGACAGCCCACATAATGACACTTGTTAAAGAGTGTCTCGATGTTCCTTCTTTAGGTTGGGCGGTCAAGTATGAGCAGGCAGCTCAGAGGTTTGGCGCATGGGGTCAGCGGCTGCACCAGTCCTAGCGATTGCCCTACATGTCCAAAATAGAACAACCGTTACTGGATCGCCGACCCATCTTGTACAAACGCTACATAGACGATTGTCTCATCGTCTGCACCACGGAGAGGGAAATGGACTCGTGCTTCGACCTCCTCAATAGCCAAGCTGAGAATATTCGGTTTACGAGGGAGAAGCCTTCTAACAGTTGGCTCTCATTCCTCAACGTGCAGATCCAGCTTGAGCGCGGGTTCTATCGGACCAAGTGGTACCGAAAACCTACCAGCAAGAACATCTTAGTCCATTTCCGGTCGGCGCATCCTCTGGGACCAAACGGGCTATCAACAGGAACATGTTCAGGACAGCCAAAATGGTCTCATCAGGTGAGAAGGAAAGAGAAGAGTCCCTGGAGCTAGCTCGGAAAATAACCCTATCCAACGGCTACCCCCAAAAGGCAAATGCCCCCTGGACCACCCACTAGGAGCCAACAAAGTCCTGTGACCGAGGGTTGGGATAAGGTACCATTCTGCCTACCTTTCGTAAGTGATGCGATCAGCGCTGCTGTGAGATCGTCTTTGCGCAGGTGTGGTCTCGACAATATGGTTCGGCTAGTTGAGATCCCTCCTGCGAGCCTCAAGCAGCAGCTGATCCGCAACCGCGGGTATGATCGCTACTGCCCAACCCCACATTGTGTCACATGTCCTTCTGGGCGGGAGGGGGACTGCATGGCCTCAGGTGTGATCTACCTGATGTCATGCATGAGTTGTGGGGATGAGTACATCGGGGAGACTGGAAGACCCCTGTGCTCCAGGGTAAAGGAGCACCTCGATGGTCTAAGGCGATCGAGGCCAGAGACCCCCCTAGGCAGTCATCGGGTTCAGTGCCATGGAGGCGCGGAGTTTGAGGTGACGGTTAGGATTTTGATGCGAGAACCACAGACTTCGGCGCGCAAAACTTTGGAAGCGTTTTGGATAAGCGCTAGAAACCCAAAATGAACAGAAAGGACGAATGCCTGGCCATCACAAACGAGCTCGCCCCGTTTGCTGACCTGTGTGGGCTTTTATTGCCATCGGCCTCGAGTCGAGGGGCCAGGTCAGCTGAAGCCACCCACGGGGAGTCAGTTTAGCGGTGGTCTCAAGCAAAAACCGGCCGTACATTCAAGGTGAGTCGTCTTGTGGTTGTGATCTATGATAGGTTTCTGGATCCTTCTGGTCTGGGACTAGCTTATCTGGAGTTTGAAATGATGTCCGAGGGTAGTTTCACTCTGATTTTTGACTTTTTTCCAGGCTCTGACGAAGGCGATAAGGCCGAAACGTTAGCCAATAAAACTGTTATATCATCTTGGTCACGGCTACAGCAATACCCTAGAAAGAACTACAAAGTATGCCAAGATTCATCGAGGGTCGAATGGACACTTAATATGCACAGTTGAAAATAATTCTTTTCACTTCTTACAAGCTTTTACTTTCACTTCCTGCTTAGAGCATTAGTCTCTGAAACTTTAAAGCTCATTAAGAGATGAAACGTCAAACAGGGCCGACAGGACGGCTGTAATTGTTCGCACTGGAGCGCGGCAAATGTAAGGCTCAGGATCGAGGCGTGGGAGGGTAGCGGAACATTCCGGCTTGGGATCAATGGGATTTGCCCGTTATTGCCAATGAAAACTGTA